TCAGGGAACAGCTGGAACTCATTCAATGTATGTATTCAAGTGGTGTTGAACTACATGTACTTACAAATGATCTTCTTGGCAAATGAATTACACTTTCCATATCTGGTTCTTGTTACTTGATGACATTTTTGTAAATGAACAAGTTTGCTACTCTTTATTTGTGAAAATGCACATCTATTGGCACTAACATATGGATAACCCTGACATTTGTCCCACCTTAAGTACTTGTTTAAGTGCCTTTGAAACATATTTGGAGGTTTTAATTTTAGGAAATGCACCTCTGTATTCCAAGTCTTTGGATGTTTCAGGCGTTTACATATTTTTATGATGGTGCCAAGGTGCATATTCAAGAGAAATACAGTGATGTCATGAGCTGGAACTTCAGTTTCACTGATGATTGAGGACAAAAAAAGTTACAAGTGTTTTGATCGCGGTTAGCACATGGCAGGCAGTCAATGTGATACTGTAATGTACAAACTGCTATGTGTACATGTACAATGCAGAGAAATTTAGGTTTATAAATTACACAGAAAATTCCAAAGCTATAAAGTGAAAGTATTTGGACATTGTAAAAAGTGCACTTGAAAAAAAAGGGGGGGAAAGCACATGTAGTTGTTACTTTGATAAAACCAGGAGGCTATATTTTAAAATTTTAGTGAAATTCATTTCACAGCCCTTTAATTCTTTTATGCTATTGAAAGACCTTGAGAAAGTCCAACCATGGTTGGCAATAGGAACTCTCGATATGGCGCAAACTGTGTGTCAATTCAGGCGCAGATCTGGGGTGGTCCGCGTGGGCACGAGCCCCTGTCAAATTGAGTCCACAAAAAAAAAAAAAAAAAAAAAAAAGAAGTTTTTTTTTTAAGTAAAAGGTTTGACATTACTACACATTGCTGAAAATCCAAATCTGATAACTTTGGTACTTAAAAGGGATCTGTTTGTTCTTAGGACAAAAATCAGCAGTTATAGCGCAAAGGCAAAGTTTAGCACTCTAGACATGCTCTGGCAAGTTAGACAGAACACGCTGTGAGTTGCTTTCTCAAGTGCAAGCGAGGAATTTTTTTATTGGAGTTTGCCTGTGGCGGCCGCAGACCGGCGCCTGTCTGTGCCGGGTTGGGATAGGAATACACCAATTCCTGATGTCTATTTCTCAACGTCATCAATATACAATTATTTACTGTATTTTTTTACGTAACAAAATGACGAAAACACCTTCACAATGTATCGTACTAAATGGGAATTGCAATCATGGGGCCAAAGGCCCAATGACTATTTTCTGTTCTATAAGAGACCAGTCACATGTGTACAAACTATGATGAGTGTTTTATACAATTGTCTTGCTGTGCCGCCGATCTGCCGATGGTTTATTTACAAATACATGTACCTGTACATGTATTAACTAGGCCCTATTCTTGAAATTGAAACTGGACTGAATTAAAACCAAGAACATTGCTGTAAAATGTTTGGGCAATTACATTACGCATGCATGAGATTAGTCACGAGATAAATCTGAGCTGTGAATTTACAATGTGCATGGAGGCCTAATTGCTCCTCTGTTTTAATTTGATTAAATTACACTAATTTAAAACTTGAATTCAATGTACATGTTCAAGCGGTTTGTTCTTATTGATAAACTGAACAATTCAAAGCATCCTTGCAACAGTTTACAAACTAAGTCTATAAAATTCCTTTTTACAAATAAAATGCACAAAAATATGCAGACGAAAATACATGGTTATCACGTGAAGAACAGAAGAAACTAAAAAGGTTTGTAATAGTAAGAGTTTATTTTAAACCAATGAAAAATCCATATGATCTTAAAATGTTTTGCTCAAATGAGTCGGGGTAAGAGGGGCCAGGAATCGCCTCAGATTGCAATACAGATCATCTATAATCCAAAATTTCCCGCGCTCGCATAGTTCTCGGAGAAAATGTTCCAACAATGTGCCCTCCGTCTAAAAAAATCCTGGACCCCGCCTGATTATCATTATCGAGGGTTGAATGTTTAGGGAGCAAACTCACCGCAAATCCAAAATGTCTTGGGAGGTTTTGGATCCCAATCTTGAAGATCTCTGAGGTGAAGTGCTGTTGTGTCAGATAGTGATAAGGATCCGTTATGGCAGCACCAGTCACTGGTACGTCAGAGGTGCTGGTGGAATGGTTATCTTGTGGGTCAAGACCTGACTCCAATTAGAGAAGAAAAAAAGATTAAATTGGTATTTGTTGAGGTATATTTAAGTCTAATATGGGCAAGTGAGATGTCTATGGCTATTGTCTGTGTCTTCACCCATAACAATTACATGGGAACAATCTGACAATAGCCGTAGCCATAGCTCTAGAAGCCCGTTTCAGACACAGCCTAAGTAACAAATCAACAAAGTTGCAAGTTATGCATAAGGAGCATCTGATTCCAAATACATTACACCAATCTTTGTGCACACATCGTCGCTTTGCTCACGAAGTGACAAAAACCTCGAAAATCGATAATTATTTGATTTTGAGTTTTACTAGCCATTTATTTTACATGAAGTTGTCTCAAGGAACAATTTGACCAAGTTTCAAGGCAAAATATTGTATACTTTCTTAATTATTGTAAACAAACAATTGACAAAAAGCCTGAAATCGGTGATTTTCATTTTTACAAAGTGTAAAAAAGTGTAAAATGTTCTCATGAAGTGACAAAAAGTCACCTCTTGAGCAGGGCCGGAGGAATAATACATTGGTCTACACGCGGCAGGATGCATAGCTGCCAACATTTCAAAATCCCAATTAGTAATCAACCTGCGCGGTCATTGACAACTTCTCGTTTTATCAAAAGCTTTACCAACATCGAGTACAGGTACATGGTTTACATGTACACATACATGTGCATACCCTTCTTGTTGTGAATAATAACGAGATGCACACAAATGACACACCATTGACAAATATTTTTAGTCTGGTCCTCAAGTACTCCACTGCGCACACTGCATTGATGTCTATCAGGTGCTTGACTGCATTCTTATTAGACTTGTCACCAGTCCATCCATTATCGCGACATTTCGCCAGAAGTTTTCGGTCAAAAACGATACTTTACATTTTTTTTTTTACGTTAGGTAGAAAATGGGAAATTCGTAATGTTTTAGTGGCAAATCATATTTTCGTAATTTAACAAACAATTCGTAATAATTACGAAAAAATCGTACTAGTTGGCAGCTATGAGGATGGGAGCATACACGCATGCGCGAACGATGTTGAAAAAGAACAGACGCGTGCGCGCTCGAATGTCCTGATGCGCAAAAGTAACAAGTTTGCTGCGTCGAAAAAAAGTACAAATAAGTAAAGCCTCTGCGATTCATGATCCCACGAAGTGACAAAAACGATGTACAAAGTAATTGGCAAAATATGGGAGCCAAAGTATCGATGTTCTCACGAAGTGCAAAATAGTTTTATTAATGAATTACTGTTTAATAACGAACTACATGTATTTTTTAACAAACAACTATGAATTAACAAAGAGCAAATCATATCCTATCGGACAATGCAAAAAATTCCGGATTCTGTTACTGCAAAGTGGTCCAAAATGTCTTTTGAAAAAATGAATAACTTCAAATACGATTATCTCAGGATGAACTTTTGTCAAATTTTGAGGTTTTTGTCACTTCGTGAGCAAAGCGACGACATGTTGCACAACGTGGAAAATGCTTTTTGAAGACCATTCTATCTTTAGCAAGGAGAAATCCATTGTATAGACTTTTTGCTGCAGAGCACAGATATATAATATACGACACCATTGTAGGCTTTAGATGTACAGTATGGGATTTAAGTCTGGTGTATTAAAGGTGTCTACACAGCTACTAGCTGGAAAAAATGTAGTTGATAGTTAAAGTCAGCAATGTGTTCCCCACTTCTGTCAATAGAGCGTGCAAGTTGACTTCAAAAACCTAGGTGATTTTACTAGGTTTATCCAGTCAAGGGCAAAGAATGGGTTCTGAACAAGAAAAAAATCATTCCAATTTACAACACATTCAAAAAATATTGCAAATTGATTACTATAGTAAATTGAAAAAATGTGGACCTCCACTTCCGTTCATTGGGTGAATTCAAAGACGGGAGTCTGTGGCTAGACTAGTCAGTGTTTGGTACCAAGATGTTCACATGAAAAGTGAATGTGAACTGGCGAGACTTGCATGCTCTATAATTGTACATAATCTGTGTAGCACCACTAGTCTGTTGTATTACATTATGAGCTCCAAGTCTGTATGATGTTTAAATGCAAAGCAATATTCTAATATTTCTTTTAGATGGACTCAAGGGTACCTCGAATTTGGGTAATTGAAAAATCAATGCTGTAAAATATGAATGTCGTTGTAAATTTAGCATCATACAAGATGTATCTTAATTTGCACAGTATCCGAGGAATTGCTGCTTTTTATATGTTCATTAAAGCTGCAATTTCCTTGTGTAATTTAAAAGTCTAAACACAAATGATACAGAAATGTACTATCACCAAATCGGTGTTTGAGCTCTTAAAAATTGCAGGGCAAACCATGTTTCTAAAAGTCACATACTTTTTTTAGGACAAGAAAATTTGCGTGTAAAAGTATTATCAGTGATAAAATAAATAAAAGTGTACACTAGCAACATTTAAACAAATCGTGATTTTCCTGAATTTTGTGTTGAAAACCTAATTCTTGTTTGTACAAATGTAATTGTTGAAAAATCCCTATTGAGTAAAAGAGCTTGCTGGTCAATGTTAAAAGTACAAACATATACCCTCAATATTCATGCCACAAAAGTAAGCCAACATATTGGTTAGCAAAGGGGATGACAAGGGTTTAAGTCTTTTATGGCTTGTTTCTTTCTTTTCAATAATTAATTCCTGACAGACATAGTAGACAATGCACAATATGTACATCTGTCAATCTTTCTGTGTGTTGCATTCTGATTGGTTGGAATTGATCAGGTTAGGGGTTAGGGTTAGGGTTAGGGTTAGGGCCACGCCCCTTGACAGCCGATCCAATCAAACATAAAAGCTGATCTACGTCTTTTGCAAAAAGGAAACTTCAGAGGAAATACTTACCTTTGTATGCGCCAAACCGGAACCAACAGTGTTATCTGTCAATGAAACTAATAAGACATGAAACTGAAACGTTTGCACAATTTATCCTGACAAGAATTTAGGGGAATAACTGAGAAAAAAAATTCCTGAAACTTTCGGTTGCGATGTTCATAACAGGCACATTGTATGAAATGTTATGTCCATTCCAGGCAATGTGCACTTTTAACTTAATGATGCAGTGCCTTGAACACCAATACTGGTGGATAGGTGTGCTCTATCTTAAAAAAAAAAACCAAGAAAAGAAATGCTTTGATGTTAAACTTTACTTTCATTTAAGAGTGCCTAGGGTTGCTCTTCGCTTCCCTCAGAACTACTACAACTTCTTTGTAAAGTCATGTTGACAGGATTCAACAAGCAGCATTTTTCCCAACACATGATGATGCCATTGCCCATCCCCCCACCTCTGGTCCAAACATGGGAGGGGTGGTGGGGATAAATCCCTACCCTCTGGTGTTTATGCTGTGAGAGAGACCCAGTTTGTCAGTAAGTCCAGGGACAGTTGGTCTCAATCTGCCCCTAAATGAGAGAGTTTCTATAAGCAGGGGGTTGGGGTTCACATCCCGCCAATGACACTTCAGAGTTGCCCAGAAATCATCAAATCCAAAGGATGCAGAACCACAAAACGTAGAGGTTGGATAAATAAAAAAAAAAATGAATGCCAGTTTCACTCACCGATGCCATAGACACTCTTTCCGATGGTAAACTCACACTTGTTGCGATAACTCTCTAATACTGGCTGTTGATGAGGAAACAAACAATGAAAATTAAAGGAACAAATCAGACATCTCCCATGTCAGGAATATTTATCCCACAAAAGATTCACACACCGTAATGTTACTCTATCATAAAATCCTGGTTGAAATATTAATTTAGTTAAAGGTGACTCTATCTAGCTGCCCAAGGTCACATCAGTCAAGCTAACCTAACACTAACTATGTGCCAAAGTAAACTTACGCTGAGATTTTAATTCATAGAACCATTCACTATACTACAGATGAATTAACATAAAAATCAAGTCTTTGTAGTCAACAAACATGATCTCTTAGCTTACTCACCGATGGCTTAATTGGCTGCAACTCACATGCCATCCCACTGTGGTTCTTCCTGTCAATCAAATGAAGAGTGCACTATTATTAAACATGAGGGTGTGGGTTAAGTCCCTGCCAAGCTAGCTTGTGAATTTGTTCCAGTGGTTCTCACAGCTATATACGTACAAGATTCAAACTGGCTCTCCAACCTTGGCAAGCTCTTTTGTCAAGTTGTTAAAGGCCCTGTCACGCTGTCACGTCCATGCACGGCGTTCATATTGCGTAGTTGAAATGCTTAAAAATGTAACAAAACACCATAAAGATGCAGGATTCATGGCACCAGTGGCTTGCAATGCGTTTCTGTGAAGTCCACCGGAAGTCTACGACGTCCGTGTGGCGTTCCATAGCGTCTATGCGGCGTTCTCTATGAGTTCCATTGAAGACCAATTAGAGGTCTGTGCAGCGTCCTCTGTGTCCTCGCTGTGTCCTCATGGCGTCCAATAAGTTCATACCATGCTCTTGGAGTTCTTATCGTGCGCTTGATGCGACCTTAAAACATACGTGTAACATCAGCAGCCAGAAGCGCGTCGTGTATAAATACTCGGGCCACAATTGGCGATAGTCATTGAGTCTTCACATTTTGAACGGCATAGATGCAGGAGACGCAGAGGAAACGCGCAGTCCTGATGCATGCACGTCCGTGGAGTTCTCACAACGTTGCTCACGTCTGCCTGCGCGTTGCCAGTACGTCGCGGCCATTCGTGAGGAGTTTGCACAGAGTCGTTGCCGCGTTCTGGTCAAAACGCCGAGGTGCAACGTTTGTTTTGTGCATATCCAAAACGAACACGGCAGTTTGGTGTTCAGCGAAGTCCTTGGAATCTTCTGAAGTCCTCAACTAGTATCAATGAGTCCCCACGCCGTCATCTGCGTTCCCACCGCGTTTTAGTCAATTTTCTTGGTAGCAGTACAAACTCCATGCCAGAACGTGACACTGTGAGAGGGCCTTAAGATGTCTGCACTAGTAAGCAGGAGGTCATGGGTTCATATCCCACCCAAGAAAGCTTTCAAATTTGCATTGGTGAATGGCAAACCAGATATTAACATTCACAGGTCCTCTACTCAAACAATCCATTAAACTCATTGGTTGTGGCACCTGCTATATCAGATTGGAACCAGCCAGCCAGCCCCAGCAAGCTTGGTGGTCAAGTAAGACATCTGCACTAGTAAGCAGGAGGTTGTTGGTGCAAGTCCCACTCAAGCAGCTTTTGTAAACTTTTTCTCGTGAGCTTTTTCCTTTGTTTTGTGTGGTTTTTTTTATTCTACAAGACTTGTGTGTGTGGAGAAGGGAGCTTATTTCATAAAATTTGTTAAAACCTTAACTGATTCTCCAACAAATGGGCTTCCTTTTTCTGGGGTTTTAACAAGTTTTCAGGGCAGCTCGCCATAAAACTGTGTTTCCAAACAGTTACTTGTCAAGGAAGATCACATTTCCATTCTGGCCCACAACCATCCCGTGTCTTTGGCGAGTAGCTCACCTTTGTTGCTTCAGACAGGGAGATATCTCCCCAACATTCCGTTGCAGCATCTTGGATAAATTCCTCAGAAACTCCCTGGTGTTGGTCTATTTGGTGGATAGCTGGTCCTCATACGGCTGGTTCCACAGTGGAGTCACCGTGTTGTTTAACCTGCAGATTGGGAGAAGAGAAAAAGCACACTCAGTATTTCAGAGTCTGAAGAATTTCATAATTGTGAACGCTTCAACTGCTATTACCCTTTTTTGAGATATGGCGGACAAAATCGGAGGGTGCCATTTGATTTGGGTAAATTTGGGGTCAATACAAAAGACTCATCCAAACCAAATATCACCCTCGTATTGTGTCCGCCACATCTCATAATGGGTAATGGATAGTCAGTGGAACTTGTGATCTTTCTACATACAACCATTCTCATAACTTCAGTTCGTAGTTCTGGTGGTGCGTGTGTAAAGTAAATTTTAGACTTGACACACTGAGGGAAATGTGTTCAACTTGAAAAGTTTATCAGATAAAATAAGTGTCATTAAATACGTGAATCACAAACTCTACACAGACATGCAAGCTTTGATGCTGTCCCGTCAAGGAGAATAAATGACAAGGAAGAGAAAACTGACCATGTAACTGTTTCACTCAAAAAATTTCATGTTCACAATTTCAAATGGGCTATGGAACTGACCGCTTGGGCTCTTAAAAAAGTAATCTCTGGATGTCAGAATGGTTTTCTTGTGATGATCATGAACTACAGGATGAGTCGAACTACAGGATGATTCAAACAAAGCAGAACCCAAACCCCCAAAATTAGATTTCATATTAAAAAAAAATATGTAGCATCAAACATTATAATGACCGGAAAGCCAATTTCATAACGTACTTTTAGATGAAAAATGACTGAAATTGAACAATCCGTTCAAAGACTATCACCATTTAAACACAATGGCCACAAAACCTCTTTCGTCTAAAAACGCGTTTTCAGGAATCGTCACAATTGTCTTCAAACATCAACAGCGATAATACTTCAGCTTAAAAGTTAAAAGTATTCAACAAAGTCCTTTTCAGGCCAGTCTTTTAAAAAACAGTGGATTTTATCAATCAGAATACACAATAAACTGGTTTTAGGGTCATTGTGTTTAAATGGTGATATTCTTTACACGAATTGAGCAATTTTATAAAAAAAATTTCGTCTAAGAGTAGTTTATGAAATTGGCTTTCCAGTCATAATTATGTTTGGTGCTACATATATTTTTAAATATGAAATACATTTTTGGGGGTTTGGGTTCCACTTTTTTGACTTGCCCTGTTCTTGAGGTAACACATTTCCTTTCCCTTCCTCAAAAAATCTACCACAGTGAAGGCAATCACATTCTTTGATAAATGGTAGTAGGCTGAGGTCTACCTTCCTACAAATGTATAGACCGCTTGCAGACCCGATCGATTGACACGGGAAGGTGCGCGACGCCATGTTGTGGGACAAAATGTGCATGGATAGATATACGCTTGTCCCACAACATGGCATTGCGCGCCTTCGCGTGTCGATTATCGAACGCATCTGCAAGCGGTCTATAGCCGACAAAATCATCAAAAAAATGGACTGAACAGAATTCATGAATTCCATAAAATGAGCCATTTGTTTCTACCCTTGCATAAAAGAAGAAGTGAGTGTTGTGATGATTTCAGAATCCAGCCCAACCAAGCAATAGCAGCCACAAGACCCCTTGCACTGATAGCCAATGCTACGGCAGTTCTTATTCATTTAAATCCAATGTGCCAACAAAAACTGGTGTCAATAATAAAACCAGTGTTGGAGGTCTCAAGGCCAGCCTCGGCCTCGAGGCCAGCCTCGAGATCGATTTTCATGGCCTTGGCCTTGGCCTCGGAATGCATGGCCTCGGCCTTGGCCTCGGAGTGCATGGCCTCGGCCTTGGAGCCTTCTGGCCTTGGCGAATCGGTCGAGGCCGGCTCGAGGCCGCCAATTTTGATGGGTTTTCTATTTCAACTAATTTTAATTTTTTACCATATCAAACCTTCGAGATTTTGCCGAACTGGTTTCTGTGAAACGAAAGCATACAATGTACGCACGAATGAACACTGGTAATGGTTGCATTGAACGTACTTATGTACATAGCATTTTCGCCTAGGCTGCGCTATGGCCGTATATGCGGGTGTCATATGAAAATCGGACTCGTATGAAAATCGGACTCTTTTCCCCTTTTATTGGTTAAACCCTCTCACGTGACCGGTCCCGTTCCTAATTATCTATGCATGAGCATGCGCAATACCACCAATGAGTCTGTATTTCAAAAAACCCTAAATTCATGCTACATGGGCACAAAATTGCATCCGGAGATCAGAACAGCCAATCACAAGGCACCTCGATTATTTATGCTGAGTAGTACATGTAACTGCCGCCGGATCAGTATTTCATTCGACATACACAGTACGTCTGTAGACCAAGGGCTGTTGGCTGTTCTACTCTGCATTAATAATATGATACGGTGCTGTGATTGGCTGTTGGGAGTGATCCTCAGATGCGAATTTTAATGAACCGAGGATTTTTTTGTACACGACTGGAAGTTGCACCGAAAATATCACTTTCTATCTTGTTTGACTTAATTCTTTTCGCATTTTGCATGGATCCTCTGCTGCAATACATGAAAGGATAAATCTACAGTCACATAGGGGACTTTTCATTTGTAATTTGAACGGAAATTGAAAACATCTGCAAAAATAACAAAAACCGCTGTCTAAATCAGGGGCTTCATTCCAGTGCTACTGGCGAATCTCGTTGGGCGTTTTCTAATCCCTGTTCTTGACAACACTCGGGTTAACCCGACATGAGAACAGCGGTCTCAAACGTGACGAACAGACCCGAGAGGGCATTCGCGGATCAATTTTTTCACTCCCCGGTTGATGGAGGGTTCGGCGAGGTGCCGCTTGAACAAAATGGCGGACTGTGCAGATTCGCAGTTGTTTTGTGGGGTTTTTTTTGGCTAATACCCTAATGATTGGAATAAGAATACCATTATAGTGCAGGTCTGCAATTTCATCCCCGCATGTCCGGTTTTGCAACAGTCGTCCTCATTCATTTGGAATAGGCCTAAGTACAAATTCAGACGATTGTCAGCTATTTTGCATTGCTTTATATCGATGCGATACGCACCCGCGCGTTCCTAACAACCAGCTCGAGAACACGTTCTCGTGTTACACGCGTGTTGTCAAGAACAGGGATTCGAAAACGCCCTCAATGTCATACCAATGACGTCTTTATGCAATTGCATTATGCAATTAACCAACCCGTTCTTCACATTCATGCGTGCTCGCGCAACGTATGCAAAGCATTGCCTATCCTGCACTTCAGCTTTCCACATGCGTGCATGATATCACTCAGTTTATGAAAATGACAATGTATACTCGGATCATCCGATTTGGACGCAATGGTTACGAAGAATGTGAAGATCATGGCAAGAAGAAACACATTGCAAGCTGTAAATTTTGTAAGCCAGGCACTCCAAAACCCAGTGAATTCAACTAAAAAGATGTTAAAAATCCAACAAAATCTTAGCCTTGTTTTAGTGATTTACATTTTATTACGTGTTTTAATAGCTGGCCTCAGCCTCGGCCTTGGAGGTGGTGGCCTCGGCCTTGGAGGTCGTGGCCTCGGCCTCGGAGGTGGTGGCCTCGGCCTTGGAGGTGGTGGCCTCGGCCTCGGAGGTGGTGGCCTCAACTACAACACTGAATAAAACCACAATAATGACTCATACATTGTAGGGTATACATGTACCTTGGCTTTGAGCACTTGTCCTTTCCATTTGTGTCCGTTGAGTACTTTCAATGCCTCCTCCTTATCTTCTTGGCAGCTGAGGGATGAAACAAACAATTGGATTTCCATCAGTTAATCCATCGCAAGCACTGAATGTAACAGGAAAGGAGACGAATATTTGTAAGATGGAATGTTTGTGTTGGGGGGGGGGGGAGGATTGAAAGTTGTGTTCCCTGTGCTTTTTTTCGAGTGTCATCCCAAAAATTAGATTTCTTTTCTAAATTAATATTTGCTTTTGCCCTTCACTGACGTATAAACACTGTATACTCAGTGTGTTACCTCCCAAGTTGGGTTGGACTTTAACCCACAACTTCCTGCTTTCTAGTGCAGACGTCTCACCACTCAAAACACTGAGCTTGCGGGATCGGATGGCTGGTTCCAATCTGATGTACATTGTACATAGCAGCGAGTACCGCATCTAACTATTCATAAAGATGGAATTTTGCGTTGGGGTGATGTAAATCAACATTAGGCTTTGCTCTTCACCGAAGTATAAACACTGTATATTCATTTCTGAATTGCTTTTTTTCTAGCAATACAACAGATATTCACTTTTGAACACAAAACAATCAGCCAATGTTTAGTTATTGAATTATTACTTTACAATTTCAAATTATTGGCTGACAGAAGATATTTCTGTTCTCGAGAGGCTGCCTGGTTCCTGCCCCACAACCAGTATCGATAGTGCTTGGACGAGGAACCAGTCTGCCAGCAAAGTGGATCAGTTTGTCCCGAAACCAAAGAGAAAAGTTCATGAATGCTTTGTAAGTATAACAATTGAAAACAGAAGTCTAAGTACACTTTCCATTTCAAGGAGGAGAGTGTGGTTTCAATGCTATATTGATGTAGTGACTATTTATATCTATATTTTAAATTTTTTTCTTGATTATCCAAACATCAAAACTAAAACTTGTATCAAGTTTCCCTGTGCTCTTATTTGTGTTGCATTACATCAGCACACTCAACTTTCACTCTATAAAAAGCTCCCATGTCACTCACTCCTGACTAGGATTTTCTGGCGGCAGGTTTTCTTTCATGTCTCAAATATTCATCCCTATCTGGCTGATTATGTGTGCTGACAAGTCTCCTGAGCACTCCAAATTGCAACTCTGTGTAGTAAACCCATGGCACAGTCTTTGCAATAATCATCATTAAATGAAAGACAAATTAAGAGATTTCCTTTTTGCTGGGAAGCTCGAAAATAAAACCTTTTCCTTCCATTTTATAAAGAACAGAAGAATTAAGCTACATTGTCCATTTGTGAAGATTTAGTACAGCTTAAAATAGACTACAGCTCCCTTGTGACTTTTGTCAGAACAAAAAGAAATACACACATGGGCAATTCTAGCATTTTGACAGGAAGTGTAACCTCCAAGACAGAGCCAGTTAACCGTGATATCTAGTGATTCCTTTCTTGATCCAAGACTCCTAGTTAGTAATCTCCATGGCCCCTCCCCAAAAAAAACGAACCCCCCTTTTTTTTTTAATGTGACGTTGCAAAAAAAGGCAGGTACTGCGTACACCATCATCTTTTTCTCAAAAAGATTTAATTTAAGTTGTCAGAAATTGACTCAGATCGCACCACAGATCAGAATCAAAAAAATGTTTGTGTCCCTGCAGGCCCTGAACCCCACGCCGTAAATTTTGGGACCAACTTTTTTGGAGGACCAAAACATTTTTTTTGCCCCCCTTCAAAAAAATTTGTATTCTGGATCTGCCCTTGCCTGGACCATAACTACATGTAGATCATGGATGTGTAAGTTTTTAAATATTGGTTTTTAGGTTAAATCACTGAGCTTAATGCTGAAATTACCCTAAACTGTATCATGTTTGATTCAGAGCAAATACTCCTGCAATATTTGCAACATTTTGCCGAACAGATTGATTTACAACACAGTTTCAGTTTACCATCTTTTCAAATATGGACACTCGACTGGATGTACATAACTTGGTTCCATGACGCCTTTCGCAGTGTGGTCCATGCAACATGCGCACGCACAGTATCATGCGATTCAAATGCTGAATACCGCAAAGAATGTCTTGAAACCAAGAATACCACATCGTCCGCATCACAACTGCTAAACGACCTTCTCGGCTCTCACCGCGCGCACAGTGGTTCCGAATTGGTGCACAGGCAAGCCGTCTGTCATGAATTATGCATCACAGACATGATAGAACGATATTCCATTGTATTCCATGTACGTGTACATGGTGTATGTATTATACACGATTTTCTGTGTGCCCCACAGCCGCGTGCGTGCGTTGACATCTAGAGCGAAACTTCAAGTGTTGTTTGTGATCGTGGTTTCTGTTTTTTAAGAAACCCGAAGAACATGGAAATTTCAATGTTAAGAAAACAGATTTTGATTTTAGAAAACGAGAAACTTAATCCTGCAAAATTATCAATTATTTCTAGAATGGGGTAACCACTGCCTCAATCCTGCAAAATCCTCCGGCAGTCACTGTCAATATGTTGAGACAGAGCAAGGGACATCCTGGAGCAGTGTGGAGGATTCTAAGTATATTCTAGACCTAAATTTATGCACGGCTGAGCATACACAACACAAGGTCCAGCCCAAGACGTTGACACAGTGCATCCATAAAAAAACAGCCACACATTTTTTTGCCACACAGCCTCAATCCTGCAAAATCCTCCATTTTGCAAACAACATTTTAAGGGATTTGGGAAAGGTTAGGGTTAATCCAAGATTTAACTCTTTATCTCTATTAAGCTTTATCAATTCTCCAAAATCCCAACAAGACTAAACTATTAAATATCACATTATCTGTACATCTATAGCTACAGAACACATGTGTTCTGAAATTCTGAATCCATCAAAGTACAATTTTATTCAGGGGCTGGGATTTTGTGGCTTCGGGATAGTTTGGGTTGGAGAACAAGGCGCACATGTGTAGACACAAAACTAAAAGGATGTATACACAAACTACAACAAAAATGGCAACTATCATGCCAATGTCAATTATGAAACTGTATTGATTATGTTTGTAACACTGCTGTCAAAAACAAAACCAAATAAGATTACAAATGCGAACAATTATGGAAATTTCACATAAGAAATATGCAGTGTACATTTTCGGTTAAAAGGCAAAACAGGAGTGATCTTCCACAAAATGTTCGACATGACGATCAATACAACACTGTAAATGAACTATGGGTGATGACTACCAAAACAGCTCCACTCCATCATCTGGGAGGGAAAGTGACATTGACAAGCTTCGTGACAACTTTGATGAGAGTGTACACGGACTTCTTCAAATAAAATGGTTAAGTATTGAAATCATTGCACCAATCGGCATCCTACTCAACATGGTCTTTCTCTTCACAGTCATTCGAGTGAAGTCCATGCGTACAATCATCAACATCTACTTGTCCAATCTGGCCGTGGCTGACTTGCTCTTCCTTACATATAACCTTCTATATGTACTGTTTATTCAACCAATAGACTTCTTGCAAGTTGCAGCCCGGGGCGTTCGTTATATGTTTCTCACGGTTTGTAATTTATTTGTGGTTACCATAGCAGCTGAGAGATTCTCTGCAGTGCGCAATCCTCTGACACACAAAGAAAAAGCCTCTAAATCTCGAGCAGCAAAGATATCAGCAGGACTCTGGGTGCCAACAATTATTGTTGCTGTGATTCTCATATTCTTACCAATAACAGACACCGTCTTCAATGAAATAATCTTTTGGATTTCTCACATTATCAACGTTGTCTGTTTAATAGCCACTCTTCCTTTGTACATCTATGTAGTAGTTAAAGTGTGCAAGCAATCAGCCCCGTTGCCAAACCCTCCGAAGCGAGCAGGCAAGGTCCTCCGTTTGATAATCATAAATACCGCTGTTTTCTTCGTTTGGAACTCACTAGACATTGCAGCTGCAACTATTAGAATCGTACGTAACAGTTATACCAGGCCGGCTCAAGAGGCTATATACCTAAAACTTGCAGAAAAACTATATGCTGTGACAATTTGTTAATAAACATTCTGCAACTTATCAACAGCTCAATCAATTCTCTTGTCTACAATGTCACAAACACTGACTATCCCGTGCAGCTGTCGTCATGGCTTTCTCATTCCTCAAACTGTGCTGTCATCGCTGCCCAAAACGGAATCTCAGCCATTAAACCCAGCGAAGCAGATGACCAAGAGCACAATGCTGCAAGGCCAAGCAGCAGCAAGCCACCAAGCCAAGGGCATGCACAACACACAGCGAGAAAGCAGCCACTGGACAGCTGTCAAGAACAATGTTCCAGGCAAAGCAGCAGCAAGGCACCCATGCACAGTCAGCAGCATGTTCAAGTGCATGTTGAGGTACATGCAGAACCAGCAGGGACCCCAGCACTTGCAAGTTCTCATCAGGAACAATGCTCTAGTCTGACTGACTGCAAGCCATCCATGCAAAGGGAACAGTGTGTACATCCAGAACCAGCAGAGAGCCAGCAGTCACTTGCAAGTACTCAGGAACAATGTCCTGGGCCAAGGCCGTAGGAGGCGGTAGGACGGCTATAGCCGTACCAATAATAACAGCCCTATTTTTAAAAAATGTATACAAGGCCTTGCATGGCCGGCCCCAAGGGCAGATCCAGATCACATTTTGTTTGGGGGGGGGGGGGGGGGGGGGGGGGCGGATTTGGTTCCCCAAAAAGTGGGTCCTAAAAAGGGCCCCCAATTTTTTTTAATTTGTTTTTCGTTTCTAGATGCTCTGCGGTGCGATCTGAGGCAATTTCTGACCATTTGAACCATTTTTTTTAAAGGAAAAGATGGTGGTGTACGCAGTGTCTGCCTTTATTGCGACGCCACTAAAAAAAAAAGGGTTCATTTTTTAGGGGGGGGGGGGATGGGCCCCGTTACCCTCCCTCACATTTTTCTTTTCTTTTTGTGTTTTGTTTTGTGTTTGTGTTTAAAGGGAAAGCGTAATCATACATGTTGCCACTAGGCCTACATGTTAAGTTAAACGGAATGGCGTTTGGCCGCCACCGTGAATTTTAGTTTTCCTCAGACTTGTACTTGTGTTTTCTT